CTGCAGACCGTGCTGCGTTTTGTGAATAATTTGAAATCATCAAACTAGGCGAACATGAGTTTTCAATCAAAAGAACTATGCGCAGGCTGTGCTGATGACAGAAAAAATTTTATTTTGCTAAAGCCATTCAAGGACGCTATCACGTTATTCCTCTGTAAATGAAAGGACCTTCTTTGTCGCTGAAAACTTGGCAGTGCTTACGTTACAAGAGTCAAGTCCATAAATGCGGCTGTTTTCAGTGGGACATCAACCTGACTCTTTTGATGATGAGGATGAAATGGACAAGCCCATAACTCGAGCTCCAAAGGTGTGGAAGCCACGGAAGTCTCACACAACTCAATCCACAACTCCTGAACTTTCGACATTTACTGAGCTAATTCCAATAGCCCAAACCACGCGTCGACCTAGTAGTACGACCACAACAAAATCTACCCCTAACCCAGAACTCACCTTGGTAGATGTTTGGCCCACATCTGCTGAAACGGTACGAACGACAAGAAGACGTTGGACAACGCCCACTTTGACGACGACCGAGGAGCCGACAACTACCACAATTCTGAGTACAGTTAAGCCTAAAAGGAGGACCACAACAACGGAAAGAACAACTACTACGGAAGAGAGCACAACTACAGCTACGACAACAGAACCCACCAGAAGGACACGACCAACGATAACAATCCGAGTAAGTTAGATTACAATTTTCGATTTTTTGGAAGAGGTTTGCTCCGAGAATATGTTACTATTAGGCGACTACAACACCTACTATAAGAGAAGCAACAACCTCCCCTGTCGAAGAGTTTGAATACGAAATTGTGGAAGTAGAAGTGGACGAAAACGGTAACGAAATTATACGCGAGAAAACGGAGAGTTCAGAGGCAGCCACAAAACTGGCAAAGCCGAAAAAATCTTTAGCGATAGAAAAGCAGGTGCTCGATGAAGTCAAGGCAAAAGAAGAAAGGAAGAGATTGGTGGAAGAGCAGAAACGTGCTTTGAATCTGCCTGC